TTTTAAACATAAATATAAATAATTCATATTGCATTAATTAATAGTGATCAAATTTCAATCTGCAAGGGTATATAACCTTCGGCGTGCCGAATATAGCTTCCTTTCTCGTTGCAGAATATTTTGTATTTTTATTTTGGAATTTATCTTAAGGTTCTCCATTAATTATCTACGAATAAAAAATGATATAAATCTGTTACAAACTCACCTTGCAACTGCAATATCGTCATCTGATATTCGGCAAGCTTCTCGTCGATATAGTCCTGCGATTGATTCGCTATAATTTCAGCTGTAGACGGACCAAACTCCTCTTCATCATCGTAAATCACATAGGATTTAGGTTGCGGAGGCTCCAGCGGTACGCCCACGAAATCGATCTGATCCTGGGCCAGTCCGTGTCCTCCGTGTTGTCTCGGTTGCGGTGGAATCACCGGCGCTCCCTGCTGCTGATAATATTGTGGCGGCGGTGCCTGTTGTGGATGGTATAGGGGTGTCTGTCGATTGCTGTAGTTAAAGTCCGAATTGGGTGTCTGGCACACAATGGGCGATGGTGTTGGCGACAGCTGAAACGAGCTTGTCGGCTGAGCTCCATACGAGTTCTGGTGCTGCAGAGGCGCCGGACGGTAGGGACGCGGTGCCGGCGATGCCCCAGCCCCGTAGTAACCACTTGGAGGTGGCTGCTGCTGTTGCTGCTGCTGGTAGGGAGCCGGCGATTGGTTGCCACCCGGCCACTGAGGTCGTGGATGGGGTATATTGGTGCTGCCACGCTGGCCCCTCACCTGGTTGAGGGGAGCCGGTGACATTGCATGACCAAAGGGCCGAGGCCCTGAGATAATCGGTGGCGGACTCGGTGCCGTCGTCCAGGGCGATGGTGGACGGTAGAGGAAGGTAGACGGCGACGGAGAGGCGGGATTCTGAGCACGTGGATTCCAACCACGCGGCCCATTTCCATACGGCGGCGGTTGCTGCCCGGACATCTTAACGGCAAACGGAGATCAGACGTTCGAAATTTTAGCTGGTTCTTGTTGGGTTCTATTTCGAATTTATATTGGATTCACAAAGACTTTTGGACGGGGCTATGGGTTTTTAATTTAACATATAACACTGGCGAGAAAAAAATATAAAAATGAAATTAACACTCTATTTTGGTCATTAATAAGAGTCAGATTATAATTCATTGTGTAAGTTAAAGTCATGACGAAGTTTTTGGTATTCTAACTACATTTATGTAAACATATTCTCACAAATGACACGGCATCAAAACTGTGCAAAAACCATAAATCATAATTTGTTCATTAGCCAAATACCATCACCTGAACGAACAGAACCCGTCCAACCCAATTATGTCAAGTGGACAAAATAGTCTGAGAAATAGGCAAAGAGAAACATAAATAAATCATGACCTATTCTCGAAAATGGTTAGCTCACTAATTTCACCAAAGACTACGCACAAATGTACATATCTGGGGCCTGCATATAGCAGAGATATAGATCCCTAACGGAAGTGATATAAACATTTATACAATCTTTAAAAATGGCGCTGACGTTGGCCGAGCGGTTTTTCTTAGTTTCCAGAAGAGTATTTTCCGCGCCAAACGTTTATTTCAGTTAGTTGTCACATATATTAGTGAAAATATATATATGCGTCAGATAATTTACAATGCTTCTTGAATATTAACATTATGCCAAAGATTGAAAGGAAAACTCGAGTGAACAGCTATTGGATTAGCTGCTGTCAAAATTGTTTGAAGGCCTCCAAAAAAGTGGATGATATATTCTTGGCAGAGTGTAGAGAAAATAGACCTTGAGAGCACTCACAGCTCAAATCATTGATAATGTTGGATGAGGCGAGAAAGTGAATTAGCTAAAATTTCAGCAGGGGAAAATTCAAATTGTTTTTCAAGTGAATTGTTCATTTCAATTCAAATAGAAAAAATAAACAGAGCTGGAAGAAAGGAAAACAAGCCATAGACTTGATGGAAAGTTTATAAATAAGCAAATATCTTTTCTTTGCAATTAAAAACTAGAGTTATTGCCTTAAAGTGAATCCATAAAAGCATACAAATTGTATTTGAAATTGGCAAATATTTCGTCCATGAATTTGGTATTTATTCCCCAAAATATATTGCTCATATCCTGCCAACACTGTCATCATTTTAAAATTTGCAAAGTTTTGCAGCCAAGAAATTGTATATTCGTCATCTGCTTTCAATATTTCAATTCCTTTATGGATATTCCAAAATTGCACAGTGTAGGCGGCAGGCAACGCGGCCTGTGTGTGTGTGTGGATCAGTCGGTCTACCATCGGCCACCACTTAAAAAAGCACACGTCCCGCAACGCACCACCGCGACGACGACGATGGGAAAGAAAACTCATGCAGACTTTTCACTTTGCGGCGACGGCGGCGGTCGGTCGGTCGGTTGTTGGTTGCTTTCTCGAATTATTCAAAAATAGAAATGAACTCAGTTCGTTAAACTTTCGGTAGGAAGAAACCATGCCGAGAGCAGCACCGTTCCGAGTGCAGCCTCCTCCTCGCATGCTTCACTTTGTTCTGGGATCACTTTTAATTGCTATCCTTCGCTCTTTGATATCCATTCTATTCGATTGAGGTTCAACATTATTTTGGAGAACATTCTATATTCTTTTTCTTGTATTCTAGCACCGGAAAACGTGGAAAACACACACACATTTTCTTCCAAGAGCACTTCACACTGTCGATTACGTAACCCGTTGGAAAATTGGCATTTATCCGAGCATTTTCAATGGGCTTTTCACACACAAAGCTCGCCAATTAATTTGTAACCATTACACACCGTGAATTTGCTTTGATTTTAACGCCAGAAATCTTTGCGCGAACAATTCCAATTCAATTTCTATATACGCGTATATATAGAGGCGTGTATATATAGATATAGATGAGTGTGGATGGCAGGAAAGAAGACTTTTCAATGAAGAACTTTAGATGTTGTAGAGGAAGAACCGAGAACAACACTCGACGAGCACGAAACACTAACTGAAATGGCTCCCCAAGCGCCAGGAGGCATAGTGCCGATCTTTTGGGAAATTTTCGAAAACATTTTCGAATGGGAGAAAAAAATGTGTGGTTCGGGAATTGCACACAAGATCGGCGCACTCGGCCGGCTTTTCTTTGGGCACATGGCCAATAGGAAAATCATGCTCTTTCTTTCGTCTTTGTTTACATCAGACATTCTAAACAAACGGCACTTGGTAGACGAACGTGCGAATAATGAGGCAAAAACAACACAAACATTCAAAAGCGTGCGTATACATACATACAAATGTATGCAAAGAAACGGTACTTCCCTGTTTTTTTCCTTGATGGCGGCGTCCATGAACGTCGTGAAACCGTTCACATACCAAAGCATTATCATCCGGAAAAGTTAATTCTGCTTCTGCAAACCAATAAGACTTAGTGTAACGAGTAAATCTAATGCATCGGGCACTTACCACAATAGGTTAAAGCATAGAAAAAGACATCTTACAGTTAATATGGCGTAGGACAGCCGAAGCACTGCACACTTGAATCACAGAAACTGCCAGAAAAGGCAGCTAATTGCAAAAGTTTCATTTTCACCATAACTTCATATCTGCCACTTTATATTGAATCACAGTTTCCCTTTCTATACACTTTATTCTTTGCACATTTTAAGTGCAAGGATAATTGCAAAACTTTTGCGAAAACGACGCCATCTTAGAAGAGATCGTGCAAGTGTGACCAATAAGGTTTTTGTTAATATATCGAGATATCAATATATCGATATTTCGTGCTAAAAATTATATATTTACATATGGTTTTTTAGTTTGCCAAATATAGAAATTAAGATTTTTCAATTATTAATAAACGGAAAAGCAAAGTTAAAAATCTGCGAATTATTCATAATCTTTTAATTTGGCGTCCGCCATCAAATGAGTGCAGGATGTTGGGTGAAAAATGGTAACAAAGGGTGTTTCAGAAGTTGATTCTAAAGTGAGTCTGAAAGTATTTAAAAATATAATATAATATGTAATACAAACGTATTGTCTTTTATTGTGGAAGTTATTATATTTTAAAATATCCGACGATCTGGCTAACTTACAGTTTTACGGGTACTGTTAAGCGCACTGTTAGGAAGCATCTGGACTGTTAAGCCAGCTGACTGGCACAGGGTGACTCCTGTCAAAATACATTTCGGAGAACAAATTTCTTTGGTAAAGAAAATGGCCAGCAAACAATTGGTAAACAATTTGGCCAAGCTTGGCCGCTCGCGCCAGCACTGGATGTCGCCTCTGGCCGCCGCCCGCAATTCCAGCTCCGTTGCGACGTCGAGAAGGTCACACACACCGGGCAGGTGAGAAACAAATTTGATTCCCATTCAACCCATCCTGCGATTACGCAAACATTGTTTGGAATATGTATGCATATAATTTAAATAAATTGATTTTTAGGTCTTTGACAAGGACGACTACCGCAATGTGCGATTCACGAACGCCAAGCGATATGTGAACGAGAACTGGGGCATCAAGCTTATCGAGGAGGTGCCGCCCAAGGAGTGCACAGAGCGTGTGGTATTCTGCGACGGCGGCGATGGCCCCCTGGGACATCCCAAGGTGTACATCAACCTGGTGAGATCAGCTAACCTTTCTGCTGTGTGTTTTTACTCTTACATTAAATATTGTAATTATAGGACAAGCCTGGTAATCACATCTGCGGCTACTGCGGTCTGCGCTTCGTGAAGAAGGAGGGCCATCATTGAGCCAAGTTAGCTTGTAAAGCACCTTGAAAACCTGTCTATCCTGTTGCTCTAGTTTAAATCTAACTAAACTGAATAAAATTATACCACAAAATGCCCGAGACTAAAGCAATTGGATCGTTTTTAGCAAGGAAATAAGTCGTGAAGAAGAGATTGTTAACTCTTGGTTTATAGAGAACTATAATCTTAAATAATTTGCTCATGCTTCATAAATGATTAGGCACACTTGTTATATCCTTAAAAAACTCAAATTGATTGCACAACACTTTATTTTTGCATGATTCTTGAATGTCTTCTAATGCTTGTATGCATTGTGTGTCCTATTTGAAAGTTAAATCTGATCGAAAATAACTTAAACGATAAGATTACAATAAAAAAATAATCAGAAAAAAAATAATAAACAGAATTAAAATTCTAAATACTGTGAGTTGAACTCGACTGATGCCAGATCAATCACCACGCGGGTGGTTAAGTATATATAAATATATAAAGTATAAACTGTATAAATAACAAAACTAACTCAATCGTAGACAGTTTTTAAACTGTTTTTTGTTGCCTGGTAAGCGGTAATATATATTGTATAGTGGTTCCTTTTTTTCGCTGCTAAATCACTACGCGGGCACTTTAGATGCTGAAGATCGCAGCATTGAGACACAGATAGTACCACGAATGAATCAATACAACAAATACAATAATTTCCGCCATTGATGTTTCCATTCCTTTCTTTCGTTTTGGCCTGGACGGCTCTCAAACTGAAAATCTCATACGTTCGCGCACAGCTCAACAAGAGCCATTGCCGCTCCGATTCCTTCTCCATCTCCAGCATGCGGGAGTTCGAGTTCGGCCTGCGGATAGAGCCCTGGATGTGGGAACTGAAAGTGGGGACGCCGCCACCGCCGCCTCCGTCGGGGGGGTGGTGGTGGTACGCCTGCCTATCTCACAATTAATATGTGCCCAGAGAGCAGGAAGCTCGCTGGACAATAAAATCATGGTCAATAATCGTCGTCGTCATCTGTTGTCTCAAGTGCGTTTCATCTAAAACACCAAACACTAAGGAGAATGTAAACTAAAATGTAGTAGGTTCTAATTTGGATGTTGTGTGGATGCGGGACTATGTTGCCGACGAATCGCCTCAGCTTATCCTCGTACTGTTGTTGTTGTTTCTGTTGCTGCAGCAGAGATCGCTTGTCTTGATTGGGGCAATAGTTGTTCACCACTGGTCACCAGAGGTTCCGTGGCATGGCGTAGCCTTCTTTTGTCACAAATATGTTGCGATCGCCATCACGCTGCAGTGCCACCTCCTTCTGCTGACTCCTCTGAGCATGGCCGTTCTCCATTCCCGAGGAGTTCCCACCATCATGGGTAACAATGGTCTCCTTGCGTCCGTCAATAACCGGGTAACCGTGGTGGTCTTATGACCGGACGAGTCCTGGGTAACCTTCGTGGTCTCGTAGCTACCATCCGGCTTGCGCACGGTCTTCGACATGACACTCTGGCTGAACACTTGGGACCCTATATGCACAATCATTGTTATTTATACAGAAAGTGTTATTTTAAAAGTCTGCTCACCTGATAGTTGCCATCGAAAACCCCACCAAACGGAGTCATACCACTGCGCGGCAACATCGGTGTCATGGGCGTCATGATGTCCGGCTTGTTGTTCATCGGCGGACGGGAGGACGAGCACAGGACTTGTTCTCCCCATTGAATTAATGGTGCCATGAATACGACCCATAATAATCTCCTCATCCGAAAGTTTAGCTCGCTGGCAGCTCTTGCGAAGCCCAGACTGATTCGATGGCAAGATGTTGGTTGTTCCTAGGTCGCCTGGTCTTACTTTCTCCTCCGGATTCAGCGCTGGATGAGCGAATGCAGTTGGTCGGCATAGATCTATCAGAGTCATGACATTAGAATATGCACGGCTGTAGAGAAAGTGCAATTCGATATACTTACTCGCCATCTAGATCCGTATCCAGCGACATGTCCTTTTGCTGCTCGAACTGCTTCAGGATCTTGCTCTCAAAGCCCGGCTTCAGGAAGTCCTCCTTCAAGTCTCGCTCAAAGCCCTCTGGAAAGGATAAAAACTGTTAAGTAAAAACTTCACTATGTTCGATGCTTAGCTCACCGTCATTATCGTTGAGGGACTCGAGAAGCCGCTGCAGCTGCCGTTCAAAGTGGCGCTGCATCTCCAGCGGACTGGTGAACACCTGAAAGGCGAACTTGCGATCATCATCGAACAGTTCGTCATCAGTTTCTGCCTCCTCGAACCACTGGGGCTTCCGAAACTCATCCTTTTCGAAGCGGACACAGATGAGCTGAGAATTGGGAAAGGGGAACAGGGTGAGATGGTGAGAGGCAATTTCCACCCTTTGGCTCAATACGCAGCCTCCGCTCCCGCACACACACACAAACACACACTTTAACACACACACACACACAGACTCGCAGGCAGGCGCTTTTCCGCGTGCGTGTGTGTATCCTGGTAAAAATGTATCTATCATGGCAGGTGCCTGGTTATCGATCCGTCGGTGAAAAAACGCCGCAGCACCGACACTTCCTTGCCTGCATTCAACCATTCGACTTGCATAACCCACGCCATGGCTAGATCTACTCACTCCGGCTCCTTCTCCGCCTCCGACTTGAACATTTTCTTCAATATATCCATTATAGTCGCCGCTGGCACGCCTGATAGCAGAAGCTTTATGGAGCAAAAACTGAAGTGGCAAAGTGGGTAAAGAAAACTAAAAGAACCAAAACGACACTAATTGTTCACTGTTATTGCCCGGCTTGTCTTTTCCGCACAATTATTATTGTTTATTATTATTTGCTCGAAATTTTAACACCCGAACCAGAGTTTGCCTGAAAATCTGACAACAGCTGACGAATTGATAACCAGGGAGGAATCGATTTCAACATCGATGTCATCGATGTAATCGATGTATCGTAAACCCCTACAATTCATAGTTTTGTTCAAATTTTGACAAAGCTGCAATTTATTATTTAATTACGCTACTTTCACTAAATAATACTACTATAACAACAATTTGATATATTCTTAATTATTTCCAATTCGCGCTACCAATTAGAAAATGGCAGTGTGACCGCCGCTGGCTATGTTTAAAATCACACATAAGGCGCGAAATCCCGTTGAAAGGCGCTTATATTTCCGACTTCCTGGCAGCTGGTAACACTAAACCCTAACAACGTTGATAGCTCAGCTCGAGTAAGTCTGGCAACGCAAAAATTGGCAGCACCAACCGCAAAACTATCGATATCTGGGCACACGTTGGCAGCCCCAAAAAGTCACAAGACCCAAGTCAGCTGAATTTCGGTGCTGTGTCGCAGTAGTGTGAAAAACACTCGGTAAATTTAATAGATTTTCATAAATTCTGTGCTTGAATTTGTGTAAGCGAGTGCCCATCCGTTTCTGCGTAGCAACCGCCGTCGTAAGAAAGCCAGCAAAATGACTACCGCCCTGTATTTGCCCGAGGAAAACATCGGTGAGTTTTGCCCCCGTGATCCGACCTCTCTGCGAAAAATCGAAGTGAGTGTGTATGGGTGTGTGGGGGGAGAGCTGCCTGCTGTCCAGCGGAGCACCCACCGCCCCGTTACATTGCTCCCGCTGTGCTAATCACCTGATTTTCCGCGATCCACGTCCGTCCCGCAGACATGATTGCGGCCACTTCGGTGCTGCAACAGCAGGCCGCCGACATCCGCACCAGGACCATCAATTGGGCCTCATACATGCAGTCGCAGATGATCAACGAGGAGGACTACAAGGCAATCAGTGCGCTGGACAAGTCGCGTGCCAGTTACTTGGCCCAGAACTCCAGCCAGGTGGTTAAGACTCTGCTGAATCTGGTCTCGCACCTGTCGAAGGACTCCACCATCCAGTACATACTCGTGCTGCTGGATGACTTGCTGCAGGAGGATCGCTCCCGTGTGGATCTCTTCCATGAGACAGCCGGCAAGCTGAAGCAGTGCATCTGGGGACCATTCCTGAACCTGCTTAACCGTCAGGATGGCTTCATCGTGAACATGTCGTCCCGCATTCTGGCCAAGTTCGCCTGCTGGGGCCATGAGACGATGCCCAAGTCGGATCTGAACTTCTATCTGCAGTTCCTGAAGGATCAGCTGGCCACCAATGTGAGTTTGAATTGAGTGTTTATCAATAGATTTGCCAGCCCGAAAGCATGTCTATGTGTTGTGATCTTAGAAGTACTGTGAGAAGAGCATGAGGAGGCATGTTTTAGAAGCTGTACATAGTAACTTGCCAACCACTTCTTGCACAGCACTTAAATCTTTCTTATACTGATAACATATTTGTCGGTGTCGATTTTGATTTATCTAACGTCTTATCACAATGATATATGAATATATAGACTTTGCGTCAAATATCCATACACTATTCATATATCTAACTATGTTCTATACCAATTTAATTTTTAGTTTTGTTAAAAAATAATTTTTTGAAAGCTTCTTGAAATATTATAAATTTTTTAAATCAATTATAACGTATTCAAAGTAGAGATCTATCTTTCAGTACCAATCTAACCCTTGCATATATTGACCTTATTTTTTTGTTAGTTCCCTGTATGAATATTGGGTTTCTGATAGGAGAAATAATAACGCATGCAAGATGTTTAATAGATCGGGAGTAAACCTTATAGCATGACGAGTAACTCAGTTTCTTGCTTGAAGTTACCAGGGTTCTTTTATCTTTTACCTTAACAACTAATAGCTTAACTATTTTCTGTACATAAAGTCCTTTACATAACTTTATTAAAAAGCTAACAATCAAATAATCAGCTGCCTGCATGCCTTTGCTAGTTTAGATTTTAAAATAATTTAATTTAAGAAACTATACCAAACTCTGACCTCGTATAGGTTTAACAACCAAACGAAACTGACCTCGTTCCAAGTGATATAACTCGTGAAATCTCTGCAAATGAGGAGTTCGTTACTACAACATTATTATGCCACATATCAGCGCACTCAGAAAACGTATCACTTATCATATATCCGAATCGTATATTACCCTGAATATTATTTACTCAGCGACCTCACCACCCATCCCGATCGTCACGTGCCAGTCGTGTGTCATGCAAAATGCACCAAATATAAGTTTTGTTACTTACTACCTTGTGTTCTTGTCCATCAATGCGTATTTATCTGTTCCGCTGCACTTGATTCCTCTGTGAACAATTTTAATTTATATGCAATTTACCATCTATGAATTGATTCAATCGAATCGATGTCTGGGAACCCAATGAACCACGTGCCACGACCCACAACCTCCGTGTTCCCACCCATAGGGCTTAGCCTATCTGCAAGAGATGGCCCAGCTGGCCAAGCGGACACAAACGATCATTGTGCACACGCATGCACAGCATGGCAAAGACAAAGACCACCATGGCCATCAATACAGTCCCACTCTGGCCCAGTTGCAGCATCAGCACGAGCTGGCCGAGAGGGCCAATGAGCGTTATCGGGAGGTGGGCGGTACCGGCGAGGAACAGCAGCAAAGCGGCATACCGGTATTCCAACAACAACTAAAACCCCCAAATTCGCAGAAATCCACTCGCCGAAAAAAAAAATAAGACATTCACTTACCCCACCCACTTTTACCACCAAAAACAAAACAAAATAACACGAATAAACTATCAAACATTAAAGGTTACACAGAAAGGCAATCAGTCGAAAGTGATAAGAATCAAAATTACTTACTTCTAAAGTAAAGTTTTAACTTATAGATGATCCCGATTTATATGATATCGAGTCCTTTCGACTGCGTTCCTTGTGTCTAGTCTATTTCCCAATTGTTTACTAACCCGACTAATAGACGATAAGGAAATCAGCAGGAACAGCCGCCTGTAGCGATGCCGTAAAGTTATGTTGTTCTTGAAGTGTGGTGTAATGGTAACTCCAGGTGACGGTTAAGTTTACACAAAGAATCAACCAAGATTACACAAAGTACAAAAACCAAAGGCATAAGGTGATCCGATCCATTGATGTTGCATCATCAACTCTATTTAAATGTTATTCTTTCACTCTCTCTCACCATGTTTTCTCCTATTTTGTGCGTAGCTTGTAGTCATTATTATCGTTGTTGTAGTTAGCAAGAAAAATAGATTTCAGCCCAGAGTATCGTCAAACTAACAAGTCTAACAGTCCATATTTGATCCAGAATTTAAGTATAAACTAATAACGATTTTTAACCATTCAATAGAACAACGAATACATCCAGTCGGTGGCCCGTTGCCTTCAGATGATGCTGCGCGTAGACGAGTACCGATTCGCCTTTGTGGGCGTCGATGGCATCAGCACTCTGATCCGCATCCTGTCGTCGCGTGTCAACTTCCAGGTGAGTTTGAAATTGAAATGCGTAAATTGTTTGGTACAATTTAAATTCGATTTCTTATTCATAGGTGCAATACCAGCTGGTCTTCTGTTTGTGGGTGCTGACCTTCAATCCCCTGCTGGCTGCCAAGATGAACAAGTTCAGCGTCATCCCCATCCTGGCTGATATCCTCAGCGATTGTGCCAAGGAGAAGGTGACGCGCATCATTCTCGCGGTCTTCCGCAATCTGATCGAGAAGCCGGAGGATTCCTCGGTGGCTAAGGACCATTGCATTGCCATGGTTCAGTGCAAGGTTTTGAAGCAGCTCTCCATTCTCGAGCAGCGTCGCTTCGATGACGAGGACATCACCGCCGATGTGGAGTACCTGAGCGAGAAGCTGCAGAATTCGGTGCAGGATCTCAGCTCCTTCGACGAGTACGCCACAGAGGTGCGCAGCGGTCGTCTGGAATGGTCGCCCGTCCACAAGTCGGCCAAGTTCTGGCGCGAGAATGCCCAGCGCCTCAACGAGAAGAACTACGAACTGCTGCGAATCCTCGTCCATCTGCTGGAGACATCAAGGACGCTATTATCCTCTCCGTGGCCTGCTTCGATATTGGAGAGTACGTGCGTCACTATCCCCGCGGCAAGCAGTGAGTATATTACATTGGAATATCTTATATTTACTCCTTATTAAACTTTCTGTTATTTCTCAGTGTGCTGGAGCAGCTGGGTGGCAAGCAGATCGTGATGCAGCATTTGGGCCACGAGGATCCCAATGTGCGATATGAGGCCCTGCTGGCTGTGCAGAAGCTGATGGTACACAACTGGTTAGTATGGTTACTGAATAGTCCTCGCATCATCCTTCTTCCATATCCGCATTCAGGTGCAGTGACCCTACATTTCGTTCCATTTGACTTATTGTTGAGCAAGACCATTATAAAAATTCTGTATTGTGTTTTCAATGTGCGTTCTTTACTTTCATCAGGGAATATCTGGGCAAGCAACTGGAGAAGGAGAACGAGAACCAGAAGCAAGGTGCCGCCCCCATCGCTGGCAAGGCCTAAGCGGTCCAATAATCAGTCAGTCAGTCATCCATGCACACAGGCACAGGCACACAGCAAATATTTTAGCCAGGCCGCCAGCCTGAGACCTTAACGAAACAATAAGAGTCGTGGAGAGGGATCTACACTACATAATATCTCCGATTCAGCCACTTCTCCACACCCACTTAACATGATGTTTGTTCTTGATACCTTTAAGCGCATGTTTGTTCCCCGTTTAAACTAAGTTCTTGTTAGTCCATCGTCCCCCTTATGCCCTCTGCCCCCATATAGAACGTATTGAGAGAACAATTCGATTTTGTTGGCATTCCAAAAACAAGTGTCATTCACCATAGTGATTGGCAAAGCAAATACAAAAGCAGAGCTATTATCCTGTGCGATTGTTCCATTCAGTTCGATTGTTTATATTTTGTTGTTATTATTATTTGTGTTCTTAATTTATGTGTGCGCGCTGTACAGAGTTTTTGTCTAAATCAGATGATATGCACTTTTAATGTATTATAATATCGCCAGCGCATCCACAACTAAAACAAAATTAAGCAAAACGAAAAATATATTGTATAAACCTATCAAGTATTTCTTTCATTAAAAATCTAATTCAAGTAAGCATATAAAACAAATGAAAAATATGTATTGCATAATAAAAAGTTGTTATTAAAGTGTACGATAAAGGTTTGCGAGTGTAAAAGAAAATATACATAAATTAGCCAAAAAGTATTCAAAAAATATCAGTGTATTAATTTATTAGTAGATTTAAGAGAGTAATACTCAGCTCTCCCTCTCTTTTGGTAGAGCTATCTTATCGTGATGTAACCTCTCTTTAATGAGTGTTTCAAAGTTTAGTCACTTGGTTATCGTTCATTATCTTGGGGAATACTCTTACTGACCTCTCTTCTGACTAATATTGTACTAAGGCACGTGATATAATATAGCAGTTGTTTATAGCTCTTTATAGTAATGAACTCACTCTTTCTTTTTTCAATGAAACGTTATCACAGAAGCAATGTTCGTTCATAATTCTTTCTCTTCGATAAGGCAAATTTTATAGGGATGACTAAGAGATGTGGGAATTCCCTTAAATGAAGTTGATTTAAATTAAATTTAAGAGCATACAATGACAGTTACTCTTTAGAAAAGAAATATATTTTCCCTCTTTTTTCTTCCCCTTTCAAATCCCATAAATAATACATTAACCATAATTTTTAGTCGTTTTTTTGTTATTATTATTTAACTTTTTCTCTTGTGGTGGTCACAATTCTCATATCGGGTTTAAATTAAATATTCCACTTTTCATTTAAATTAAATAATAAATTGTCCTATTTAAACTTTATAATTAACATAATTGTAGTTTTTAGGTCTGTACTTTGTTGATTTGTAGTTGTTGCTTCTGCTGCTGTTGTTGTTGTTTGTTTGCCGGATTGTGACTGAACACAATAATACGGTGCGGGTGGATGGGTTGCACCTTACTTGGTGGCCGACTTCAGGTAGGCAATCAGATCACCGCGCTCGTTGGGCTTCTTCAGGCCGGCGAAGATCATCTTGGTGCCGGGGATGTACTTCTTGGGGTTCTCCAGGTATTCGAACAGGGTATCCTCGTTCCAGGTGATGCCCTTGGCCTTGTTGGCGTCCGTGTACGCGAATCCGGCCGCCTGTCCGGTCTTGCGACCGATCAAGCCATGCAGGTTGGGTCCCACCTTGTGCTTGCCACCAGCCTCCACGGTGTGGCACTGAGCGCAACGCTGCACGAACAGCTTCTTGCCCTTCTCAACATCACCAGCAGGAACGCCCATTATGGATTATGTGGTTTCTTAATGTGTTAACACGGACTCGACTGTGGAGGAGAAAAGAGTAAGGGAAAATTAGTGATTGTGGAAAATAAGGTAAATATTATATTCCCATTATGTATACCTCTGAAACTATCGTTCTAGTTATACAACCTATTATATCAGCTAATCTTCATCATAATCAGAACGGAAATCAACTTTGAGAGGCCGATACTTGTATACCCCTTCTATTTCAATCGGAATTAAAGAACCGAATCATAAATCAAATTAAGCTTAGGCTTAAAATATTCCATATTTGGTACTTTTATATGACAATTTTTTTTACAGATCCAAGTTTAAAAAATTCATAACTAAGCCAAAAAAAAACATTAATTTTCATTCGGAAAGCTTTCCAATTTTAGTTTTTATTGGGTTTATAATTCTCTAATTAAAATTTAATTAACTTTTTATAAATTTTTGACAATTTTAACGATGTAACCCCTAGGCAACAGGCAGACATTTTATGAGTTCTTTTTTCTATTATTATTTCCTCAAACTTCTGTTTCAAAGTCCAATTATTTTATTTCTTATCATTTAAATGGTAATAATTGCCGTTTTTGGTTCGGTATCATGCTGATAGCGTTTCAAATGATTTGTATCTAATTTCTTTAGCTTTTACACTAAAAGAAATTGGGTTGAACCAGAGGGATTTAGAAAAATTCCTTGTTATTTAAGTGTATGCATAATTAAAATTTTTAATTTGAAAAAATTAACAAACGTCGATGTAGCACAATTTTAAAATTATTAATTGTTATAAAATAAAATGCAAAGAAAATATATCAACCACTTTTTCTTTTGAGTAAAAGAGGCCGTGAAAAAATATTTGTCCCCTTGCCCTCTTATGCAAACAAGTGATAAGCGCTCTGCGGAAACGGAATCATTAAAATCGCTCACACTAAGTGCATTAGTCAACTGATGAACTGATAAGGCACTTGCTTTCATTATCTAACAGTTCTGCATCCCACCTGCTCTGGTCCCTCCCCCTTCTCCCAACTCGCACACGCTTTACTCACGCGTGTGGAGGGCAACGTCATCAAACACACACACACACACACATGCAAAAAAGCTTCAGACAGAACAGACGCTGCTGCCAGGTCACATGTTGTTGCCTCCCAACTCGCGCTCTCTCTCCCACACACGCTGTTCGCAGTTCGAACGTCTGATTTTCGCTGAGTGAAACAACAATTGCGTCAGAACGAACCGCTCAGCAACAGTCGCAAAAACTTCACCGGGAAACATAAATCGCGAGAAAAACGTTAACTAAAAACCGTTTATATAATAGCCTTAGCTCCGGGGTCTATGTTACGGCCAACTTGCTTTAATTGGCGGCTAATCAGGTTGCATGCAGCTATGTGAACTTGAGAGCGAGAGGAAAAAAACAGTGTAAAGTGCCGTTGCAATGAGTAAGTCACCTACACCTACATATACACAGACATTGAGCGTGTGCAACAACAATGTCAAACATCTGATTTGGCCTTGGGGAGAATTTTCCGTGCGTAAGAGAGAGGGATAACCACTTTTCCCATCTATAGAAAGTGCAATTGGAAGCAGGCCAAAGGTGTTAGTATGTATGTGCGGGAGAGAGAGAGGAGAGAGAGTGGGAGAGGCAGCGAGATGAGCGAAAAATGGGCCAACATCTAAGTTGCCTTTATTACATAAGCAGACTCCTTAGAAAGGTAAATCTCTATATTTTCACATAAATCAAAAATGGGGACACCGCGGAACTCAAAACCAGCTTAGCAACCACGTGGCGGACTTTGAAACTCCACAGCTTGAGCAAAAAAGAAATTCCAAGAAGTGATATTCTTTTCGCCACAGCGGAGCGAGCGAGATAGTTGCCGATCGCGCTCTCTGTGCGCTCATGTAATCGACGCTCTTTGGGCATTTTTTCAATGGCAATGTGACTTTGGTGATTCGAACGATGCTATTTATAATTTTAATAATTCACTGCTAACTTTTGCACTTGGAAAACCTAGCAAATAAACGGCCTAACAACCTCGCACATATACTTCGCACTCTTATATATACACACACTCACACAAGGACACGTTTATGTAACCTGAATCATCCCCCAAAATTTATTTATTTGCTTCTGAATAGTTTTTCACAGCAGATCGCGCGCCTGAACATTATGCAACGGAAATAACCCGGAAATTTCTGCCATTATCTTTCTGAAAACGGTCTAATCAATAACTAACCAAGGTAATATTTACGTCACTCGCAGTTCCGAAAAATACACCCACTACTTACATTGAACACAAACGTCTAGCGCTGCGAACTTTTTTTCCACGAATGAGCCCGCGAATTTTGCAGGGTGACCGCTCCGATAACGATAGAAATTCCGCATGGGTCTAGCAAAACATACTATAATATACTAGACATTTCAAAAAAAATACAGACACAAAATACAATTAATAACAACTATAAATGTATACATTTTAATTATATATATTTACCTACAATTTCGAATATATTTATCTTATTTAAATATTGAATTTCAAGAATATACTGTTGTACAATCGAGTTGAAAAGTTCCAAACTTGGCCGAGTACCTCTTGTGGCAGCGCCACAGAGCAGAACAACTCGATTAATCGGCGCTAAAAGCTTTGCAATTCAAAAGGAAAAACGTAAAATTGAAATTAAAATTCCATTTTTGTAATTTTTTTTTTGTATTAACTATTTAAAGGCCGCCAACATTATTTATTATCTTAAATTGTTCACTTGGTAGGAACCTGAGAAGTTCTCGATTGAAATTTAAGTTAAATCCGGGTTTCTAAAATTATTGAATGTCGATCTTGTTGTTACTCTATCCACTTCTATTTGTTTGTCTTGAGGAATGCAATCAAATCGGCACGTTCCTCGGCCTTTTTGATCCCAGCGAAGACCATCTTTGTACCGGGAATGTACTTCTTGGGATCCTTGAGATATTCGTCTAGAGTGCTTTCCGTCCAGGTGACGCCCCTCTTCATATTGGCCTCTGTGTAACTGTAGCCAGGGCTGTACCGCTTTTGCGACCCAAAACTCCGCCGAGATTGGACCCACCTTGTGCTTGCCACCCACCTCACAGGTGTGACACTGGGCGCACTTCTGAACGAAGATTTTCTTGCCATTTTCCGCATTTCCTCCACCCATTTTGGAAGTCTGCAATAGTTGGAAATATACAGTTTATTTAATTATTATAGATATTTATTTCTAGGTTTAGAAATTGTGAATGTGAAGGGAATTTTAAAACAGTTTATGCAGATTTTTTTAGCTAACTTGGAAGCTTTTTATATTACTTTCTCAAGAGAGAAATTTTGAATACACTTTGAGACCGCTAGATAACTGTAGTGTCCACCCACCTTAGAAAGAGCGAAAGCAAGGCTGCACAAAATATACAAAAAAAATACTCTTTCTCTCTTTCAGCTGCAAAAGACTCGACGGAGACAGCTGCAAGTGCATAAAAGCAAAACGAAATTGGGTCAGAAGGAGAATAGGGAAAACAAAAAAATGAATCAAAATGGTATTAAATGAAAAGCAAAACATGATGCACACACACAAACACAAGCTAGCATCTCGAGAACTTGGCGGCACTTCTAATGGGGAAAAAGCAACCGAAAGGTAATTCAATTAGCAGACAGACCGCCTTGCCACACCCCCCTTGGCCCCACCTAGTTCTATTGGCCGCCGCCCCTCGCCAAGTGGCAGCTGCACATGTGCTTTGAACATTTCCTTTCAATTAAAACGCATTTTACGCACTCTCCTCCTTCCGTTTCATCTCGCTCCTCTTTCTCTCCAGCGATGCTGCTGTGGCAAAAACAGATGCCACCGCATAACAAAACCAGGAAAACAAAATATAGGGATACAAAGTTTATGCGAAAGCTTAAAACGTGATATTAAAGGGTGATATAATACGTGGAATTAAAGGACGTCTGTATAATTCTACCATTTCCGATAAAAGTTATGTTTGTATATACTTTTTAATAAATGTAAGCAAAAAACAAGAAGCTTAAAGTAAAATACTTATTCAAAAAACTACCCAAGCCCTTCAGATTACTCGAATTAATTCATCATAAAAAGTTTGCAAAATAAAAAACCATCACAGGAGCCACAAAAGTTGATACCATTTGGCTGGCGACAATTTTGCTGGAACCCAGGTAAGGCTACTCAGCATTCACCACAATCACACACCTAACATATATATACATATATCCTGGTTGTGACCTAACCTAATTTGCCCTGGAACCATAATTTACCCGCAGGCAAAACTATCCAGAGGATGTTGGCTCGGGTTCCTTCGCCTGAGGAACCACTATAAATAAATGGCGCACAAAATTAAATTACGCTTGAACAGGCTCGGGCATTGCAAAAAGGATGGCGACAGGAACAATGGACTGCGAGGGGGGAGGGGAAGGGAGAATAAAGTGGGGGACCATTATTGTTTACTAGATCTATTGCTGCGGAAGTCCATAAAAAGGTGAGAGGTGGCTCGGTAATAGAGCTTCTCCCTTACAAAGGGGTGCTCTGCGAAAGGACACCGAAGGGAGGCTGCAAAAAAACAGGAGTAACGACAGGAACAATGCGGATATGGAATGAATTTTGAGGTGCGGATATTACAAGGATACAGAGCGGATATTGAAATGCAAAAGGGTAAGTCAAAATTTAAAAGTATTTACATAGCTCTTAAAGGTAATGGTAATAACTCAGAAGGAAATTATTTGATATGAATCATTTGCAAATTGAAGTATATAATAAATGATAGAATATAATTATATTCTTCTGAAAGGTAAAAGTTCGCTTAGAACTCGAATCTTTCATTAGCCTACTGGCAAAAGTTGGTCAAGCCCTTTAATATAAGTATTGTTCTCTGAAATTGGCACTTCACATCTCAACAAAACTCCAATATCCTTTTCATTTATGCTGTAACCATGGCACACATTATTATTTGTTAGAAATTCCCTGAAGTCCTTCAGACTTGACCACTGGAATTCGAGTTTAGCTTCTGCAGTCACAGGCACCCTTCCATCGTTTTTGCCCAAACCAAAATCCTCGGTCAGCGGGTTACCAAGAACAACGCAGTGGCTGTTGCGCAATTTGGCATGACTTTGATGTTACCACCACCCACAAGGAGCATACCCAGGTACCCCATACCAGACCAACCCACACAACCCCAAAAGCAGACATTTCTCGCTCTGCATGGCCCAAGCCCTCCATTTCTTTCCTTTCTCGATTCGGTTCCCTCTTTTATTGGACAGTCGAAATTCTAGAACTTGAACTATATAATTTTCAGAGTTTTTTACATGTTTTTTCATATAAGTTTTTAAATAATCATTAATAAAACCCTTGAAAGTCCATTTTTAATTGTTTTACATTCCAGGATTGTTATTTAACCTATAAATCAAAGGTTTTTTGGAAACCTTAGGATAATATTAATATTTCAAAATGCTTATCTTCGAAAAATAAGTTTTTTAAAAACCTTTTTCGTTAGTCTTAAAATAACTTACTGTTTCTGGGTTACAAAATGTTTATACTAAGCGCTTTCTACTGCTATTGCCACAGCTACTGCTACTGCTACTGCTGCTGGTGCTCCTTCTTTGGCTTTCTTTTTAGGGGGTGGCAGGGAGATGGCTTCTTTTCTAGAACGAGGTCGCTGACTGCCCTTCAACGCTTGTGGATGCCCCGAAAGTTACATAAGCCCCCCACAACACCAACAACATCGCTAGTTGGCTTTGCATTTTATGCTGGCAGCAAAACGAAACAGGCGATAAGGGGGAGTGGGGTTGTGTGAATGGGGGACAAGGAGAGAAAGAGAGAGAGTGGAGAGTTGAGAGAGCAGCAGCCCCAACATTGGTGACCTAGAGCGCCAGAGTACGAGAGAGAGAGAGAGGTGCAGCGCTGAGCATGAGAGAAACTTTGGGAATGTGTGAATGAAAAATGGCTAAAACTGCCTCATTTCAGGCTAATGTCGCTGCATCAATGAAAAGGGGAACGATAGAAAGAGAATAAAAGAGAGAGGAGAAAAAGAGGAGAAATGAGCAGTTTATTAAAAATTTGATACCTTATTTTTTAAGATTAAGTTGTTTTTATTTTATGTTTAGGTAATTAGGAATACTCATAAATGCAATAATCCAATCAGTATTCTTTTAACCTAATAAAATAAGTATAATTAGAGTGCCACTAAAATCGACATGAATATGAAATCAATGCATAAATTTATATAAATAAATAAAACTATTTTCTGTGGGTTAAAATTATTAAATTATAAAAATCGAAAAAGTTATATAAAATTATTTTGTAAGCATTGAAATGCTTTGGAATATTTTATGATCATTTCTAAGTAAGCTTTATTACCGTTCAAGCAGAAACAACAGCAACGCAACAAGCTTACCTGCTAGACGACGACTCTCTTTGGCTCTATCTCTCGCTCTCTCTCTCTGGCTGCTTGTTGCTTGGCCTCTGCCTAAGTCTCCCACTATTCCGTTGCTTTGGAGCTCTTTGGCCCTCGCTCTCTGGTGGGGCTGCTCTGCTGCTGGTGAGTGCTGCTCCAAGTGGCGTCGCTGCTTTCATTCAATCAGCTGAGTTCGCGGCGTTCGGTTCTCTTGTTCCCGTTATATATATTCCGCTGGTCAGGGCGATCGAATACTACGCGCTTTACGTGAAAAGTCCGATTCGTAAACGTTTTTGAGAACAAAATCACCGAAAACAACAAGTCGACTCGACGAGAACGAAAAATTTGTTGGCTGCGTTTTACCTTCGAAAGATATCTGTCTTCTACAATTGTCACTGTCAGACGCTTCAGCCAAGGCCTACTTAGCTGAGCAACAGAAAAAAAAAAATACAAAGGAAAGGAAAACAAGGAAAAACTAGAAAAGTCTAAAAGGCAGCCGCCAGGAAGGAGCTGCCAACTTGCATATTACGGTAAGTGAACCGTTAGTTTAATCCTGTGACCAGTGTTGTGTAACGCTTCGGTCGTCGCCCACTCTTTTTGTATGTTGCGAGTGTCCTTGCGAAGGCTGCACGTGTCCTTGAAATGCGTCAAGTGGTTCCTACGCCAGCTCTCACTTTCTCTCTCTCTCTCTGTCTCGCCGTGCTGCCTCTCCCGCTCGCTCGTTCTTTTACGCATTTTACGTAATCACGACTGAAAGTTTTTTTTTGTTTTTGCGTTTTTCTTTGGGAGCACAAATCTCGACTCGTTTTTCATTTGGTTTTATGACTATCCATTTCCATTTCCACCCCGAAGTTCTTAAGCATTTCCTCCATAAATTCCGATATGAACGAGAGCTTTTGCGTCTCATGTATGCGCTTCCTGCCTAACACCAGATTATCCCGCAAGGGTCTCGTTTTCTTTCCTTTTCTTTTTATCGGGAAGGACATCTGCATGTGATGAAAGGATATTCTATTTCTTCATTTCTTTCTAAAAAGAGAGTGTGTATGATGGGAAATTGATTTATATTGGATGGTGTGAGACTTTATTATTATTATTTTGGGGGATAAGAGATGCTTAAGAACATATTCATCATCAAAATGGATCAAAGTTTGAAGTTTATTCGAGGTTATTATTGTTTATTCTTTATTATAGTCTGGGAAATACTTGATTATTCCCCTAATATTCAATTCTAATATTAAAGGTTCTTTAGCTTTTATGGCATACCTTTATTTATATTTTGTTTGTTATGTTTGTTAAATTAAGTTTAACTTTTAATGGATCTTTTTTGTGTTTATATAAGGGAATCCCTGAAAGAGTTTATTGATTGCACATTGAAAATTCTTTTAAAGAAAAACTTCACCCGCAGATTTCATCAATATGAAACCCTTCTTGGGGAAGTTCAAAAGTGCCTCTTATGCGAACTGAAGCGAATAATCTTTTTTTCCTTGTTTGTTTTTATTGTAAAGAATCGGTTCATCGTTCCCTTTTTCTGGTGGCTGTTGATTACTTTTGCTCCCTTTAGTACTCAACGAATAAGTTCACACAAAAAGTTCTCAAAGGTTTTCCCAACCCTCCCTCCCTCTCCCCCTTGCCCTCTTTTTTTGTTTTCAATTATGTCACTTCATCTGTATTCCACACACCAGCTGAGCTCCTGCACCGCCCCTCCTTTTTGGCTTCAGTTTATTAATCATTTTTGCCTTTTGTTTATGCCTTGGCACTGGCCCTCTATATAGGCCAACGAGCTTCACTCGGCCTTTTTGTTATAAGCCATAGTTCACATGCTCGGAGCCGCCACATCAATTACAGCATAAATGTTGAGAAATTGCTATAATTTAATTAATTTGCTTTGTCCCGCTGGCAGAGTCATAAAACTTAATTATTAATATTCATCAAAGTGTGGAGTACGCTCGAGCGTAATGAGCCACAAATCGAACACACTTGGCCATTTAATTGTGGATTCACTGTTTGATTATTAATGCTTCACAAATGAGATATGAGTACATAACTCTATATATTTATGTGATTCCCACTTTCTATATGTAGGTCAGCGCTCTTTCGGTCGTTCATTTCTTATCATATCGTTAAGTGCACTTGGCGTCCCTCAACCGAAACTATTACCAACATATGGGGCCGGTTTCAGTCCCCCTCCCAAAAAAAAAAAAACGACTTATCAAACTTGTGTCGTTTGTATTGCATTTATAACACTCGGTGGATTCGGGGTACCAAAAACTAAAAGGAACAAAAAACAAAAGGAAATCAATATTTGCGCTTAAAATAAATGAAACAGAACAAACGTGGCCGAAAATTGGAGTAAAAGAAAACCAAAAACACAACAAAGCAGATTATAAACATATATATAAAAGTATTTCCCAACTCCCCCATGGGGGAATAGTGTTTGTGAGATAAGCAGAGTAAGCACTACCTAAGTACTCCTCCAACTCCCCCACTAAGTGCACTCTTATTAACGAGAATTGCCCAGAGTTATCGTCATCAATGAGAACAACAAATGGGTATCCAGATGGCTGCAAATTAAAGATAAAGTTGGATAGTAGGGAAATGAACATAAAGATACGATATATGTGTTTGTATATAGAAAAGATATACACAGAAAAGTGCTTTTGGGATAGATAAAGAAAGACTCTTTGAAGAGTCATACAGAAAAGTTGTTTAAATTGGGTTAAATGAACAGATTCTAGTTGGATTCTGTTATTTTTAAAAAGTTTTTGAATTTCTGACATTTTGACAAATGCGCAAAGCTTTCTCTGTGAATTATTAATTGGGAAAAATTTTATTTTTAGATATTGTTGATGACATAATTTATGGCTTGGTAAATTTAAATGGGAATAAATATAAATCCAGATGGGACAAATTAGGTAAATTATGTATAGGAAATAAATACAAAATATAAAAGGAAAATGTATACTTTAGGCTGCTTCAATTACCTAAAAAATGTTAACAAAATACTATCTAAAATAGTTATATAATTAAGATTCCCAGTAAATCCACTCCTAATGCAATTCCATCACTTCATTGCTAACTTCCCCTCAATTTTATCTGCAAAATTCAATTAGCCAAGACAGGAAATTTCCCATCAGAGCCAAGTTAATACCCTGAAACAAAAAGTACCCCGAAATAAGCCTTGTCACCCAAATCCCGATAAGAGTTCACAGTTGAGTTATGGATGGAAATGGTTCTAACCATCAAACCAAGTAAATTTTTCCACGTTGCCTTTGACTGATTGAGATTAGCGTGAAAATTAATGACAGGGCATCCGTTTTCCGAAGGGGGATTGGGATCCAGAAACAAAAATAAAGAAAAATTAAAGCCGACAACGAATGAATGGCATAAATTATGTACAACAATTTGCGCAGAAAGCCAAACAAGGAACGAACATGGGCAGGACTTGCTGAAAATTCCGAAGCGTGTCAAATGGAAATTGAAAATGGCCAGTGGAAAAAAGGGGCAGGTCCAAGGCAGAGGAAAAACAGACAGACAGACGGATAGACATGGGCGGAAGTGGGCGTGCCCCGTCATGTCAATTAGATTTAATCGAAAATCGATGCGATGATGCTTGAGCTTGCAGTAAAAGGTTTCAAAAATAAAGGTTGATCCTGCATGTAAGTGTATATATATGCAAAACCTTTGGGGTCAAACACGATGACCCTTTCACTATCTATCTAAAAAACCCCTTCCCCTCCACTATACGACCTCTGCGTGTGGTCTTTTGATATTTTCCAAGCGTCATCTTTGTTGATTTTGTGGCCCCATCGAATAAGTGTTCTGAATTATGCATTGCCCACGAATGAAAGCACTTGAAATTGAAAATGCTTTGCGTTAAGCTGGAAAACTCATTGGATAGTAAATTCCCTTTGGTCAGCAGCAGGAAAAAGTTTCTAAGCTAACGAGGAAAATGGGGGAAAACTTTAAAAGATTTTGTGGCATTTGATTTTATTGGAACATTTTCCAAGAACTTTATTTTGTAGTAAAAGTGTATATAGTTTGGAGTGTTTATTACAGAATAATTATATATATACTGTAGAATATTTATAATATTGTTTATAATAGTTAAAAAAATTAAAAGTATATAGTTTTCAATTAAAAAGTTCGATTAAACATAATGATCGCAAACATATTAATGAATGAATGATGAATATATAATGATAAATGATGATGTATATAAATCTCTTGGCTTAACTTTTCAGAGATATAATTTAAACCTAGTTTAAAACAAAGTATTTAAAGTGTTTTTTTTTTTAAATTTCAAGATTACATATATATTTCTTTCAATTTCTTAAGCAATTAGTATTTATTTTTATTTGTTTAACTTACGCCATTATGCCCTTGGTGCCGACATCAATTGAAATTTAATTTGTTTATATTCATCGTTAAGATTTAATTTGCTTTTTTATTGATTTTGAAATTCATTAAAATTCGGCTGCCTTTATTGGAAATACATTTGGTCATTTCCCGTTTGGTGGTTCATTTGTAAATTCATTAATTTATTTAAAACCATTTAACGAGCCATAAAACGATGGCCAGAAAATTGTGCGCTGTGTGTTCCATTAGCAAAGCGATCCCTCTCTCTTTCTCTCTTTCTCTCTTTCTCTCTTTCTCTCTCTCTCTCTCTCTCTCTCTCTCTCTCTCTCTCTCTCTCTCTCTATTCGCTTTGGTTCAGGTTTATAGTTCAATGTGAGCCGCATTTCTTATCAGGCGCGAGCATTAAGATTTTCCCATCATTATGTAAGAGAGGCCTAGACTCTAAGCCATAAAACCATGCTTCGAATGGAGTTAACGAGCTGGCCACAATGGGGCTTTGGTTTTAGCTAATGAGCAGCGCAATTTCTTTTGGCCAACTTTGAACTTTCAAGCCAAAGCCAACTTCTCCAAGTGTTTCTCTTTCTCGGTCAATTTTCTTCTTCTTTAGGTTTACTTTGGATGACCACCTATTTCGGGTTTATTGTTTATTGACTTTTCCTTTGCCTTTGGCTTAGTGTTTGTTTTTGTTTACTTTGGCATTTCCATGCGCAATAATGATTTAATATTTGCATTTGTATTGGCCACGCGGCGTATACGTAATGGTCATGCCAAAAGAACAGGAAATGGAAATTGTAAAACTCTGGATTTATATATATATATAGTATATTATTGGGAACCTCTTTGGCTAGCACTCGATATGGTCTGCTTGGAAATGTATTTATCTGTCTGGGGGAATGCTTTTTTTGCTATGGCTAAATGGTTGAGATACAAAGATACAAATATTCCAGTGCGAGATTTCGCAATGGGTCAAATTATGCCAGACAGTAAGGTGCGTTTAATGAGTATATAGCTTATAGCGGAGCAATATTCTTAGGTTGCATTAATATAATGCTAAATATGAGGGGAAATCTTATAATTGTTTAATTATTTAATCGATTTTTACTGGTTGGTTACTCTCCAAGATCCCGGCAGATGTTTGACTGAAAGTCCATCTGCATTTTCTCGCTGCACCGCT